CATACTAAACTTTTTTCATAAACGATCGTTTGCCGAAAGAAATCTCGGTGAATGGGAATCGTCGGGGTGATAGATTCACGCTGTTCACTGCGGACCGCACGATAATTTGCATGGTTTAAAATCGCGTGAAACTTCTGAAACGTACTGCCGGGATCTGGCTCCATGCATATCACGGCGCAGGTGACTTCAGCCCCTCGGCTGAAATTGTATGAGTTGTTACCCCACGGCATGCACGTTGCATATGCATGCAGGCTGCCTACTCGAGCCGCCCCGTATTTCTATCCACGGCCCCGACTTCGATTTCGCTGTCTACGCCGATCCTCCGAGATCCTCCATCGTATCACGAACCGTGGAAAGCCAGAAGTCGATCCTATCATCTCAGGCTGTGGGTTAGGGTTCTACGAAGGCTTGTTATCTTTGCAGATCGTAGTAAAGTCACCGACACATCGTCGAAGAGGGACGAAGCCGTAAGTCGGTACATGAATTCGAAAGATAACTTCTTCGCTGCAAATCCAGCCTCAATGGTAACCGTAGCTCCGTTTCCACCCCCGTGGAAGAGGGAGTGCGTCCGTTTCCCTCCCCATTCCTTCGCTCGTAGAGGTTCGTAGTCGTCGAATCCTCGCACGCGCGTTCGCAACGACACAGGGGCTAGATAATTCCTCTCTCACCCTGGCCGAAGCGGATGCAGTTATGCAAATACAAGCGGTGAGAATCTTTATTAATGCCGGCTTGAACATCGGCCAGATGGTGGGACTGCAGAAGGCGGAGTACTGCCTCGTAGGCGCGTCGATGCGCTCGGAATATCACGGAAACGGAAGGAGAGGCTCGCGCGCCGCCTTAAACAATTCAGCCGGTTCAGGCTGTTCTTGGTAGGCCTGGTGAATTGGCGGCTCGTGCGAGGTATCGCGCGGGATCTCGGATTTCCAGCAAACAGCCACGGTACGACTCTGCTGTGACGAATGATCTGTCCTACCAAGGCGAGCTTTTTGTCCGTGGCCAATTACCAGGTCGGAGATAGATCGCGTCTGCGGATTGCCCCCGCGTAAGGCGTGTTTGTACGCGGTACGAACCAGCCGGACACGTAGCCAGCCGTTTTCACTTGTTAATTGGTACCGTTTCGTTGTTTGTTCCCAGACGGATGCGAGAATAAGAAGTGCGACTTTTACGCGGAGTGCGAGAGCGACAGCGCCGGCGAGGCCAAGTGCGTCTGTCACACCAAGTGCGAAACTACGGTAAGTGACTACCACCAGAATGTATTTGCGTATTCCGATGAGGTATTTGCGTTTCCTTTTCTTTTGTTTTTTATTGGGCTGTACGTTTCATTCTCGTAACATCAAATTTTTATAGTTGTGCGAATTTTTAATATACTTG